TTAATATCATATGGCTGAAATGAACAACAGTCACAATGAAATAGACATCTTGTACAACGTAATAACAATGAAATAGACATCTTGTACAACATTATAACAATGAAATAGACATCTTGTACAACATAATAACAATGAAATAGACAATGAAGTAGATATCTTGTACAATGTTGTAACAACGAAATCGACATCTTGTATAATATTGTAACAATGAAATAGACTATGTACAAGGACTAACAATGTCAAAACACAATGTATCAATTAACAACCTCAACACCCACACACATCTTTTAACCATGTAATGGAGCAAGCCACTGGGACAATGGTTAACATTGTAAGGTTTTCTATTAACATTACGAAATAAGATTGTCACCTGTTTGCTTGCGATAAATGATTATCAACAGGGATGATTATCAGCCCCCAAGCGCCACCCTGCTGTCAGCGTTGTTTGTTTAATCCCACAGACAGTGGCTGTTAATGGGTGCTGTTAATTATTCATCACTCCTTCATACTTATTGCATGAACAACAGAGGATTTAGGACAATCAGCCTCAGCTGTTTCACAGCTGTAAACATTACAGCTGTTTGTAGGCTGACTTCTTCACTATTTAGGTTTCAACTAATTTTTCAATTTTAATACAACATTCATCATAAGTATGGTAAGGATTTCATTATTTGTTTGTGACATTATATTCCTAAAAAATGAAGATGGTTCTTCTAAAACACTGATAAAATTGAAATTCATCAGGGGCAGTAACTCTAAAACCAAGATGGACTGATCAGCTTGCAAATATAAAATGTCAGTTTTGTTATTTGGTTCACCCTTAACAAATTTAATGGAATGAATGACAGAAGTGCTGTTTGTATGTGAATGTGTGAAAATGCTTTACGATATGTTTTCACAGTTATATTCTGCGAGACCAGCATTTTTCAAAGGCACTGGGTGCCGTTGTACAAAACAACCTTAGTGCTATGACTCTCGTAAGTCTATGTTAAGGTATGGGAGTTACGATCACCTTAGCACTAAGATGGCTTTGTACAACGGCACCCAGGTCCTGTTTCCTACAACTAGTCAACCCAAAGATGCGTGCTGCTGTTAGGAAGTTTTACCATGCATATGGCAAAGCAACACTTTCACTCTGCTTATACCATTACCTTACCCCGAACATCAAATAATTCCTCACTTATGTTAACAAGATGCCTCATCTCTACAACAATACACACAGTGGATAACCTTGTTTACCTACTAACACAACACACCGCAGTGAGCAGTGCATTAATCACCTCCCAAACAAAGGTCTGATTAGATTTCACAATCCTGTAATCCAGGCTGCCTGGAATCCTGCCGTGACTTCTTCCCTACCTACACCTGCTGAACTGCTCATGACAGAAGCACACAAATACACCTGTGCTCCCACCTGCATCCCTTGGAGGCAGCAAGGAGCAGGGAGATGGTGTTAATTGGATCTAACGAGGGACAACCACTTTTGTTTTTCAGTCCAACTCAAAATGGATATTCATTTGGTCAAGCAGGTTTGCAATAATAAAATCACACAGATTGGTTTCATGGAATCATTTGATTTGCGATCCGAATGAACCGTGGCACGTAATGTAGACTGCATCGTCTCATAATATGGAGAGACCCGTGAAGATCCGGGGTAGAATTGGTCTTCAGCAGCCCATGCTTGCCATAAAAGGTGACTATGCTTGTCGTAAGAGGCGACTAACGGGATCGGGTGGTCAGACTCGCTGATTTGATGCATGTCATTGATCCCAATTGCGTGGATCAATGCTCATCATAGTCATGTTGTCAACCACTTGATTGTCTGGTCCAGACTTGATTATTTACAGACCGCCGTCACATAGCTGGAATATTGCTGAGTGCGGCGTTAAACAACAAACAAACATAATATGGTTATGCCAACCAAATTAAACACTGTGAGGCAGCAGGGGTCCAACTTATCTGTGGCACAGCATCCTTGCTGCTGGGACTGTGTTTCAGTGTGGTGGGCATATTGCACTTTTTCAAACACCTTACACGCTAACTGTGCACTTGGCCAAGTTACATCATGGCTTGGGAATACTGTGCATCCCTTTTTTCAAAAAGGTTCCCAGCAACCTGTGCATGTCAAAAGAGGAGACTACAGGGATAGGGCATTCAGGCCTGGGTGATACCATGTCACTGTCCCCAAACTGGATCGACGTCCATCTTCCTGAGGCAAGGGAGTTAACTGCGAGTTAAAAGTCCAGTTTCCTACACTGGAATTTTGTGGCCCGATCGTAATGCCACCTGTGGCTATTACAAGTTATGTCCCTTCTATGTTACTCCTATTGACCAATCAGATTCCACATACCATACTTGCATTGGCTTCAAACAAAATGGCTGCACCCAGTCAAAGCGATCTGATCGATAATCAAGATCAATATTGTGATAAAACGGGTTTTTACTTTCAAAGTGCATCAAATTACTGGAGCACCTTGATTAAAGACATGAAAGGATTTGAAAATATATGTTGATGCCGAGATGATGGTAAACATGCTTTGCAAATCCTGTAATCGACTGAAATCTGCATGGCAGTTTATAAACCAGATGTCGATTTTGATTGGAGTATTCATAGACTCGTTATCCAGACAAAATAGAACTCTGATATTCCAGCCTAGTTCGGCAAGCGTGGAAACTGGACTTTTATCGTCAGTTAACTCTCTTGCTTTGGGAAGATGAGGATGTCAGTCCCTGGGTTTACTTGTCCAGAGCCAATTATTTACAGACTGCTGTCATTTAGCTGGAATATAATTGAGTGCGGCATTAAACAACAAAAAAAACCCAAAAAAACTCCACACCAGCATGACCTATGAGCATGATGAGTCCCCCACCCTATTTCCCCACCATCCCCCTTCCCTCTGTACTCATCACTCTCACAAACTACTACCAAAATCATGCACTCCAAATTCACTTGCACACCACATACCATCACCCCTATCTGCCAATTTACATCCCTACTGGCTCAAGGCTAATCCCCCTCCCCCCAGAGGATGGGGAGGAATGTACGCCATGATGAAGGATGCACACTCCAGTCTGCAGGGGGCACTTGCTATGCAGGATCATAGAGACCTACGCTGAAACGTTCCTTGCAGTTAGGAGTTACTTGCACCATTGAGCCATGCATTCCATGGCAATAGATCCGTTGTATGGAGCAGCACGGAATGGGCTGCTGGGAAGATGTTATGCACATGGTACGCTCTGCAGGGCATGAGGCATGCTATGCACTATAAACAGCTCTGTGGTAATATGGGACGTTATTACCAGACAGGGCCTGTCTGTGTGAAGATGACCCTGACATCTATAGTATATTAACCTTTGACCTTGGCAGGTCATGAAGGGTTTGATCTTTCACTATAGATACTACTCTGGAATATTTTGATAGCTTTGACATGCTTTGACATTCATTTGCAGTGTGGTGTGATTCCGGCAGTCTAGATAAATGATTTACTGTATACCATTCATGTAAGTCATCTGAAAACGAAATTCCATTTTGGTATTTTCCTAAATATGATAATATTTGTAAGTAAAGTTTGTAAATAATGAAATTATAAGAATTCCCATCTAAATGATTATCACATTATTAAACATTCCAATTTCCCTTTTGTCATCAAATTATCAAAATTGCATATCTCATCATACACATAACAGGATCAAATTAGGAAAATTCTAGGATACAAAGACCTTTCATGAAATACTAACAGTTCACAACACTGTTCAACAATTTCTCAATAATGTCAATTTTGTCAACTACAGTCCTACTAAGTTACAACTGTACAATATATATTGTAGACTCTGTGTTTATAAACACCGAAATTGGCATCACCCTCTCAGCAAGAGAAATGAATATACAAGTGCTTATACCACTGTCAGCAGTCATATTCCCAGCTGTCACTGCCTTGCATGTGGTATGTATATCATGTATATTGCCATGAGTCATGCTTCTCGTTATTCAGCTGGCCCTATGAAAGATGTCACTTAAAGAGAATTGCCACTTTATTTGTCATTAAACCTGAATGTAGAAGGAAGGATAAGAAGGAAATTCCAATGTCACTGACCTCATCATTAATACATATTCAGTTTGAAACAAATGACTCAAATGACAAGATCTACACATGACTATTCTTTGACTTATTAACTATATATATATCATCATCATCATCATCATCTTTAAAAATCAAAAACATAATGAAATGATTGTTATGATTGTGATATCACATTTATGATTAAAAGGGTTGCTTTTCATAAAATTGTGACTGTCCTAACAAAAACATCACTACCAGACAAGCCTCCTGGTTGGCATAAATATATAGCAACTATTAGAGAAATCAAAAACACATAGCCCCTTGATCTGAAGTGAACGCATGTTTTTGTTGAGGATGTTGGGGTATACGCGGAAATCAGTCAATCACTGTCAGATATTGACACCAACCACTTCCTACTTGTTGATAACACCAGTGAGTACAATACACGTGATGTATGTATGTTTGTACAGTATATATGTCGTTTATACACCAACAACTACTGGTTGGGGAATATAGGAACTGGAAGAGAGTGCAATGAGTTATTCCCTTCCTGCAAAACAGACAGGATATAGTTACCACACATATATAGCATTCAATATCATCTGCTTAATAAACATAACAGTGGAATGCTAATGCAATGATGCGTGGTTGGTTGATTTATCATGATGATATACAATTTGAAAAATATGACACATATCATGACTGTTATACCCCCTTGACTAAATATGGCGTGATCTGTCAAAATGTAAGTCACGTCTGTCATACTAATTTCAACTTCAGGATGTATTTAACATTATGTTCCGGGTCGATATGAGATGTCATCTGGCTTATGACCTAAATATGCCATATGACCGTGTGTTATGACATATATCAAGCAGATAGCAAACGCGCAACGCACGAATTAAAGGTAACACACAAATATGAGTTTCAAGTCCCAACCTGTTGCCAAGTGTCTTCAAGCGATGGCTGAGAGCTAAAGTAACCGGTGTCGTGGACAACTTGCAGCTCCCGGAAAATATTCCCACTTGGTAATACATCCATTTTTGCCCTATGGCTGAAACAGTAGCAACCGGCAAGTTTCGTCACCTCGACTCAGACATGAAGCAACAAGGATCAACACAACTCGCTGTCAACGCAGACTTACAGACTATACACTCTATCGTTAAACACTCGCCATTGCATACACGGTTGTGTGAACGTAGAAAACCAGCCAATGGAAAGCCCGTTTACAGACGAAAGGAATCTGAGGAATGTTCATTGACCAATAAGATAAATCGTCGCTTGTGGGAATCCTCGGCGCTGATTGGATGAGTGTCGGTATTATTTTCCTTACATGGGATATATTATGATAATAGATTAATGTTACTATTTATAGACCACTATAACAGCCCGTGAGTTGATCCTGGTGACAGTCGCGCGAGGTGAGTCAGACTGTGAACGTCGGCTTGAACGCAGTGGGAGCTTCACAGGCCTCCTGGCGAGAATTTCGCAATTTCTGATTCATAGGCTTATATTTCAAAACATTTTGGTCACGATTTTCTTGACTGATCGATGACATTAAACTGCCTATACGTGATCCCGTTACAGTGGTCAGGTTGATTGTTGTCAATTTCAACAACACGTGCTGTTGTGATGTAATGTTTATATCTGCCGTTGTCAACACGGTCGAATCTGACAATATAATCACTCTGTATGAAGTTAATTTGAATCATCCAGTGGTTTCATGGATATAAATTATTCTCATCATGGTATATAATGTATATATTCAAAGGATATTTAATTTCACAATCGACATGGCTAAGGACTCATTCATATTAAAGCCTATCAATATTTATTATGGCTTCTATTATTATAATATGTATTGTAAACAATGCGAAAACAATTTATCAACACGGAATAATGTAAATATACAGACTAGTGATAGATCAGGTGTTGGCGGCATAAAAAAAACCATGCAATATCGTTGATGATACGGGTATCCAGAATTAAAATTCGTCTTAGTTCAGATAGTCAAATCTACACTTTAAACACGTGTTGTCATATGGTCCTCACGTGAATTTTCATATAAATATCTGTTTACGTTTTAGTTAGTTTAAATGGTCAAGACCGATACCGATACGCCCGTGAAAATCCGGGTCAGAATAGGCCTACAGCAACCCATGCTTGCCGAAAAAGACGACTATGCTTACCGTAAGAGGCGATTAAAGGGACGGGCTGGTGGTCAGGCTCGCTGGCCTGGTTGATGCATGTCATCGTATCCCAATTGCGTGGACCGATGCTCATGATGTCAATCACTGGACTATCTGGTCAAGACTCGATTATTTACAGACCGCCGTCATGTATCTGGAATAGTGCTGAGAAGCGACGTAAACAACAAACAAACTGCACACATGTTACCGACATAATTAAATCTCAGTGAGCTTGTTTAGTGTGATTTGTTTGATAGGCATTTCTTAGAAGTTGGGGGGCGGTCGGGTAGCCTAGTGGTTAAAGCTTTTGCTCGTCACGCCGAAGACCCGGGTTAGATTCCCGACATGGGTACAATGTGACAGTGAAGCCCATTTTCTGGTGTCCCCCGCCGTGATTTTGCTGGAATATTGCTAAAAGTGGCGTAAAACCATACTCACTCACTCACTCACTCACTCACTCACTCTGGTGTCCCCCGCCGTGATATTGCTGGAATATTGCTAAAAGCGGCGTAAAACCATACTCACTCACTCACTCACTCTTAGAAGTTGACGGATGACAAAGTGGACACAATTTATGGAAAACAACATCTTTAATACTGCATGTCAACGGTATAAGGATCTGTATCGAAACGCCCCCTTCACAGTATTAAAGAAGTTGTTGTCCATAAATTGTTTTGTGTGTTTGTATACAAAGTGGTATGTAAGCAAACCTTCACAGTAGGAAATACGCATACTCAATAAAACCGAGGATCATAGAGGAAGTGAATGCTATTTTAAGACGAAGTCAGCAATATTCCAGACGTTACAGTACGGTGGCCATAGCCTTGCTCCAAGGCTGTATTGAATACATGGTAAGTCCATGGGTGAACAATCGTTATAATAGGCAGGTCTTAATAAGCGCTCAGAACGGACGTCAGTCCGTCATTCTTTTGTAGGGACAATTTGTTCTTATCATTTATATAATCTAGAAAGTATTGTTCAAACTGATAAGGATTACCCTAGAGACTTATGCAAGTCTACGCTGATCCGTAAAAAGCCCAATCTGAGCAAGATAAAGCAAGATATTGGTTTGTCACAGCAGCTTAAAGTCCGAAGTGATGCAGGTCTCAGACGTTTACCACTTTGGTATGGTGCTGACAAACCTAGAAACATAATCAGGGCGACCGGGACTAGAACCAATAATCATAGGTTTCTGGCGCGTTCATGGGCCGCAACTCTGCACTTTAGTAATATTCCAGCAATATCACGGCGGGGAACACCAGAAATGGGCTTCACACATTGTTCCAACGCCGGGAATCGAACCCGGGTCTTCGGCGTGACGAGCAAACACTTTAACCACTAGGCTACCCGACCGCCCTCAGTGCTTGTGAACATCTGGAGGAACATAGCGGCTCTGTATCAACTGTACAAAAGCTATCTGGGGCATCTTGGATATTCATAGAAAACTGCTGAGATCCATTTTAATATGTAGATATTTCAAAAAGGATGTCTGGAAGTTCGAGATATGTGACAATATAAAGGGTGCTTAACATTTTGCCATGTGTGTAACTAGGAAGAAACCCAGAGAATCTCTTCATTTTGAGGTGAGGTGAGGTGAGGTGAGGTGAAATTGGGTTTAACGTCGCGTCCAAGATTATTGCACTTATATAGCGACGTGCATGCACGTGTGTGTGTGTTTGTGTGGCTGCTTGTACTAGTCCGGACTGATGCCGATATATAGTGCTAGCTCACTGAGATACCATGCCGCAGTTTAACATGAATACCCCACTCAGACACAGTCAAACTGACCCCGAGCCGACCAGTCCTTGTTTTAGCCCCTTAATGTCGAGCGCCAGACAGGGTAACAACAAGTACCCTCTTTTAACGTCTTTTGGTATGACGCGGCCGGGGATCGAACCCCGGACCTTCCGCTCTCCGGGCGGACGCTCTACCACAAGACCACGGAGGCGGCATCTTCATTTTTAACCTGAGACTGATGAAATCTAGACTTGCCTAACAATTATATACCTACACGAGATGTCTTAGATTTATTTGTTTCAGTGTCTCGATGGAAGACCAATTTGTCTGATTGAGGTTTGTTTTACGAGGCACTTGTCACACTTCATGCTTCGAGTCTTGGTCGTATGTTTCCTTGACACTTGTAATGTTTTGCGAAAAGAAATTGACATTAAATTATTTTTTTCGAATAACCTCAGCCCCGAACAGATTCAAGAATGGAAAATATAGCTTACAGTGTCAAACAATACATTTCAGACAGAGTTCATTTAATATGATGCTGATGTGAATGTCATTACTTCATATGAGAGGGTGAGTTTGGTTTAACGCCGCTTTTAACAGTATTCCAGTTATATCGCGGCGTGTCAGCTTAACGTGGGAGGAAAGCCCGAAGTTTACCACTTCGGTGAGACCCACGAGTACGGGTATGGTGCTGACAAACCTAGAAACATAATCGGGACGAACCGGGATTCGAACCAACAATCATAGGTTCCTGGCGTGCCCAAGGGACGCAACTCTGCACAGCGAATCGCGGCGGCTTAGACGACTGGGCCACCCGTGCCCCCTACTTCATATGAAAAAGAGCGCCTCCGTGGTCTAGTGGTTAGAGCGTCTGTCCGGGAAGCGGAAGGTCGGTGGTTGGCCACTCATACAAAAAGACGTTGCAAGATGGTACGTGTTGTTACCCTGTCTGGCGTTCGGCGTTTAGGGGATAGAACAAGGACTGGTCGGTTTTGTGTCAGTATATTGTATCTGAGTGGTGTATCCATGTTGAGGCATGGTATTTCAGTGGGCTAGCACTGGCACTAGTCCGGACTAGTCCAAGCAGCCATCCCCACCACACATGTACAGTAAACTACGGTTATAACGAACTCAAAGGGACCAGTGATTTTAGTTCGTAATAACCGTAGTTCGTTATAAGTATATAAAAAGCATATATACATCGAATGGCCGGGACCTAAAAAATAAGTTCGTTATATCCGTCAGTTCGTTATAAGCGTGTTCGTTACAAACGTAGTTTACTGTATATACACGTCGTTACATACATGCAATACTCTTGAACGTGACGTAAAACCCCATTTCACTTCACCTCAACATTTGAAAAATGACTTGACTCACTTGGCACCTAAGATGTGACAGGATGTGGAGGTGTTTATTAACACATATATACATATACTTTAGTTACATCCCGGTGAGTCAGCGTCATGCGTGGGAAGACGCTAATAGGTGTAACGCAATTGGATGACGTCCAGTACGTGTGTGGAACTCTGGAGAAGAGCGTCAAAATTGGAATATATGCCTCGACCAACGCTCCGTGAATCCTCGGACACAAGAGACCCACAGCTCTGTGGTGAGTTCCGGCGCCTCATACCACGTGACCATCCGCACCCCCTTAACCATAGTGGACGTCAATGACGTCAGTAACTGTATCTGTGATATTGATATGAACATCATACTCAGCAGCATTCCAACTATATGTAAAATAATCGAGTGTGAACTAGACAAACTGGTGATTGATATGATGAGCAAAGTCTCAGGCGGTCGAGGGATGATGATGCGCAATCAGTTACGCCAAGAACCCGACTATGGAATCCACTTGGTCGCCTCGAGTGACAAAGCACAGATAACTGGGGTCCTGTTCTAAAGGGAATCTCCACGGGGTAACAGACGAAGTAACCTCCATACTCCCTGTTGAAGTGAGTGAGTGAATATGGTTTTACGCCACTTTTAGCAATATTCCAGCAATATCAAGGCGGGGGACACCAGAACTTGGCTTCACACATTGTGCCCATGTCGGGAATCGAACCCGGGTCTTCGGCGTGACGAGCGGACGCTTTAACAACTAGGCTACCCGACCGCACCTCTCCATGTTGAAATACATCAGGAGCGATGTATTGCTGGTTCGATAAACGCGACAGTGGCGGTGGATATCTACCACGTTTTTTTCATATCTGATGACATTTTGGGCGCAATACCTGAAATAAAAACATGTTGATTTGGTTGTTAATGT